GCAGAACCCTTCTCCCTTCGTTTACTGGTTAGTACCCATTCTTTCATCCCCTTTTCTCCTCCTAGGCTGATCAGTGGGTGCTCCCACTGCATGCAAAGCCATGCAGGCCTCCTCCGTGCCATCTCCAGGGACAGAGGCCTGGCTGGAAGCCAGGACTGGCCTTGCTGTTCCTGACAGGTGACCTGCACCCGTCTGCAGGATGAACCGTTCTTGCTACACTTGCCCTTGATACAGCTGGATTCTTTTTCCCAGGAAATTAAGTGTTAAATTAGCTTGATTTTTTTTTAATTTGATTCTGGCTCTCGTAGTAGCTCACTGTGTGTAATTAGTGCTGCATGGTCAGACTCCTCATTTACACGTGCATCCGAAGCTCCACGGTCCCGTCTACTCAAGAACACTGGAGTTTGAAGTGAGGTGTGTGACAGTGCAGGAACAAGAGAAGTGTTGAAGGACTTCACGACAGTATCCAAACCCAGGGTTGAATCAGGGCTCCCAGTGGTACCTTATGCCATACTTCCTGCAAACCAATTCCTTCAGGTCCTTCTTCTAGAGAAAGTAACTGCATGAAAAGGCAAGGCAGAATGTTGGGAAACAGTTACCTTAACACACAGTTGGAACCCACGTGTCCTCAGCTGCAGGTTATACGTAGTGGCCACGGATGTGCTGTTTCTCTCCTTCCAAATGTCCTGATACTAGCACAGATGTTACTAAAAAGCCACGTGTCGCACAACAGTGGTTTTCAGCCCCTTAAATAATGCAAGGCAAAGTATTACTAACACACTGCACATCTGCCTTACTACAGCTTCCTGAAGATCTTGAGATCTTAGGTGTTACAAAGCTGAGTAATTTTTAGGTGTAACTTCGTTGTTCAGGTGACTAAAACCAGGTAATTAGGCACAAAATTCCAGATGTTTTACTTAATATTTACTATCATACTGAAATGGGGCTGACTTAGAATTGAGAACTATAGTGTTTAGCTATCCAGTTGTCGTCTTACAGAAAAGATGGGACCAAAAAAGTAGGAAAGGACAAATACACATAGTATTTCATATACCGAAGAGCACTGTTTTATACATATACATGTCTTAAGCTAAAATGGAAAATCGATTCAAAAGGTCCCCGAAGTTGAGATAATTTTCATCTTTCTACCCTGAGAAAAGGCAGCCAAGAAGAAGGAAATTAGCAGTCAGCTGCCGCAATCTGTAGTTACAATAAAATAGATGAAATATGCAGTGGCATAAATTCGATTGGTGTACTTTCCAGTGTTTGTAATGAGTAAATAATGCTTAGTTCTTAGGGTTTCCGTAGACGTACTTAAGCTGCTGTCACGCAGGCCCACGAGCAGTGTTGGCAGTACGCCGTCACACCTGCGCTAAGCCTCTCGCGAGAAGCCGAGTCGGGGGGACATGCCTCGGCTTCTACCAGCTTCCTTTGCCTCGTGTGTCACAGCATTCGTAGAGGGGAGCAGCAGTAAGAATGCGAGAGGAATTACAAGTATCTGCAAGAAAGCAAGGCTGGAACGGAGTGGGAGGAGATGGAAAAACTTGTAATCCCTTTCTTTAGCCCCCGCCCCGCCCCAAACTTACCACGTTAAAACTCCTAACATAACAACCACTTTCCAGGTTGGCCTCCGTAGGGGAGAGGCCTGCAGACTTCCGTACAGACAAGGAGGGACGGTCACAGAGCAGCTCCACTCAAGTGATCCATGAGATGGATGCTTGTATCCAAGGTCTGTCCACCAGAAACTGTACTTTGTATGAAACGGGTTTCCATGGTGTTGACAGTACCTGTTGCTTGGTTCCGTGTTGTCCCATGGTGTCACTCGGTACTGGGCTGAGGGATCCCAGCTGATTAGAAATGAGATAAAACATTCCTGTCAAATCGAGCATTAAGGCACAGTGGCTTGGAAAATACGTCTGTGTGGCCCAACTCCTGTTAAAGGTGGATTTTACACTGTTTCATTGGAAATGGAATTCCTTTGGGATTTCTGCTCAGTTTCATTAACAGGCTGCTCAGAGTTCTTGGTCTGTGTATAGTCCTTGGTTTTGGGAGTCGCTGCATATACAGGGAACAAATGGCTTTGTTCTCTCTGACCAACAGGCACAGGGAGAACTGTGCCAGCAGCAGCTCCTGAGCTGTGCGGGGCGAGGGGAAGTGGAAAGGTGGAGCTGCCTTTGGGACCCGTCCTCAGCCGCGCCTGGAGTGCCAAATCCCCGCTCGGTGTCTGGCTCTCTCCTGCCGACCTTGGCTAATGCAAGGATGTGCCTTTCCCGTGCTCTCACTTGCGCAGCTTCTGCTGACCTTATTCACTCCAGGATAAACAGATGACACTTTGGTAGCCTTCTGGTGGTGCCCATGGCACTGCGTTCTGCTGTGCTTACTCTTTAGCCCATTTTATGGGGGTTGAAAAAATTAATGCCTGAAGACTTCTCTCTCCCTGGGCAGCTTTCTCTTGGATAAGTGATACAGTACAGGAAGGACACTCCGTTTGACAAGGGAGCTTCATCTTGCAGGGAGAAACACACAAAAAAGAACATCAGTCTCACCTGCCCAGCATTTATAATGGTTTTAATGGAAGTAATCTAAATATTTGTTTTTAAATGAACAAATAAGCATATGTTTACGTGCTCCATTAATCCTGGATGTCCTAAGAGACGTTATTAAAGTGATCTGTCTCTCCAAATGCACTTGAAGACTCTGATTAGTTAGCTCAAATATTAAACAGCATCTCTGTTCTACATTTTTAAATATTAGAGTTAAGCATGCAGAAAATCTAGAGGAAAGCTTAAATGTGTGCTTTCATGGCTGAAATGCAGCCTACAGAAAGATTTATACTTTACAGCTCACTGCTTATGCGCTGGGAGAAGCTACTTTTGTGGCACAAATACCCTTCTTTGTTGCTTACCAATACCCGTATTCAGCTACACAAAGGACAGCTGTTGTAAAAAATATTAGTATGCAGATGCTCTGGTGTTTTGTTAATGCATTTAATTAAGTACAATAGCTCTTTTGTTTGTTTTTCTTTTTCTGTCCTTGAATGGATTTGTATTATGGTATAGAATCTAGGGTTAGAGTTGCTATTTAAAACATTTTGCAGTTTGGGAACATGTCATATACCCATGTTAGTTACTTTCTCTTTCATTCTGTTCAGAAAAATCAGTTGGGCACTTCAATAGTTTCTAGTAAGTTTGAAAGCATCTTTCCAGGAGAACCCAAATCCCAAGTTACCAGCAAATATTTTCCTTTTCTCCACTGATGAGGTCTCCAGCAGCAATTAGCATTGGTTAAATAACTGTATTCCCAAGGAATACTTTCACACACTTTAGCCAAAGAAAACTTTCTTGAAGCTCCCTAACACTTCCTAGGTAGTTTTCAGAGAGCAACATCACAAAATGTCCCACAGCAACGCTGCACACAATTATTTCAAAATCAGTCTCAGCCCCAGAAGAGTACCTTTTGGAGCCCTGTGGGTGGGCGAATTGTACACAATGACTGTGTCAAGTCTAAATTTGGGCTGGTGAATCAGCAAAGTGCTTGAGCCCAGAGGACTCTGAAAAGGCAACGCTGTTTGCCAGATCCTCTGCAACAGGGACCAAGTCAAACGGGGATGTAATGAGGCAATCGGAAGACCCTAGAGGGAACATGTGACTAACCATAACTTACTCCTGAAAAAATTCTGAGCCCCGTTAACTCCAAAAACTGTTTCTGACGCGGAGGGAATGTGTGGGAGGTGTCTGCTCTGAAGGTTGCTTCTCAAGCTGTGACCTGCTAATACGCTTTTGGTGTTCCTTGGAGGCAAGGTGAATTTCTCAGCCGGTGCCATTCCCTGTAGAACAGTGGGAATAATGGTACAGACTGTAAAAAAAACTCCATAAATCCTTTTGTCCCTGACAGAAGGAGCTACTACAGGTTAAGTGTGCTGCAGCTGTTTCTTCTCAGGTATTTTACTGCTTCCATCAGAACCCGACTGCGGAGAAGGCAGCCAACCTTTCACTTCTACCACAGAGCTCTGCCTCAGAGCATTTCTTGGCTGGAAGCTCATCAGTTTCTGATAATGGGTTTTGTCACTTTTCACAAGCACTAAATGCAAATCAGACAGTTTTGCTCCAGGCCTTCATCAGTACGCCGAGTGCCAGGATCCTACGTGGAAAAAAAACTGTTGGGGAGCCCAAGCACAAACTGCAGTTCAGTGTCCTCACTTCAAAAAGGCAGAGAAGAACTGAAATAGTAAAAAAAAAAAACCAAACCCACCCCTCCCCTCACGGTGCTGGTTTGCTGGGTATTGAAGTTACAGCGAGGGATTCCAAACAGGGACAGAACCTTTAGGTAGAAGAGCTCTGACAACGCAGAGAGGGAACGTGCCCTTGAGAAGGCACAGCCCTGCGATGTCGCTTTAATTACTTCTCCCCCGCCCTGCTTTGGAGAAAAATGGCACGTTTTAGAGTTGCGGTCTTGAAGGGAAAGTCTGGGAATTCTGGTTGTTCACGGTAAGCCTCCCACATAAATAGAGTTAGTTTGGGTTGTGCTTCCAACAACCTATTGATCTACTTACAAATATGTTTAATTAAAAAAAAACACCTAGAACCACGGCAAACTTTGTGTGAGAACGTCATCCCGGTTTCGGTTCCAAGATAGCTTAATGTTCTTCACGGCTGGTCGGGAACACAGTTTCGTTACAACTGCACATATTACGGGGTTTGTATGAAACGAGCATCTCGAGGCAAGGGGGAGAAAGCGGCATTGTTCCGGGGCTGTTTTTCACAGGCCTGTATTCATATCTCATCCTTGTTGTTTGCAGGAGAGGCAGATGTGAACCAGAACAATGGGACCTCCACGAAGAGCCCAGCGGTGACAGACTCCAAAGGCACAGCAGACCCGAAGAATGCCTGGCCTGAGGCCAACCCAGCTGACACGACTGGTCGCCCCCACTTGATCCGCCTCTTTTCCCGAGATGCCCCAGGAAGAGAAGACAACACCTTCAAAGATCGGCCCTCAGAGTCAGACGAGCTACAGACCATCCAAGAGGACAGTGCAGCAGCTTCAGAGAACTCGGATTTGATGGCTTCGCAAAAACGCTCCTCGTTCCGGCACGGATCAAAAATGGCATCTGCCAGCACTACAGACCATGCCAGACACGGATCGCCGAGGCACAGAGACTCGGGTCTACTTGACTCGCTGGGCAGATTTTTTGGAGGCGAAAGACACGTTCCCCGGCGGGGCTCGGGCAAGGTGAGCTCTGAGGAATAGCGAACTGCACAGCTGCGGCAAAATAAAGCACAGTTAATCAGGAAGGGGGGGACTGAGAGGAAGGTGTAACTGCTAGAACACAAGAGTTGATTTAGCCGGAGGCGGTACTTGCAGATGTGTAATGTAATGCTTGGCTTTAAGCTGCAAACAACAACAACAACAACAACAAAAAAAAAGAGCATAGAGCTGGGAAAGGAGAGGAGCTGCTCTGGGTACTAACAAGGAGTATTAGAAATCCGTGCGGCTCTAGAAACATTCCCGAGAGGAATTTTCCCCGAACATTTGCTGTGTGGTACATTGTGTGTGCTGTGCCTCTCAGAGAAACTTCAGCCTGCTTTTGTGTGTTGTTCTTAAATGTGTGCGAGTCGGAGCTGGATGAGAGCAGTGAATGCAGGACAGTCTCCAGCTAGCCCGGCGCTGAGCGAGGGACGGGCTTGGGAACAGACGTTAGGAAGAAGGGCTGCGGCCGGATTCTCAGCCTGCTTGTGCAAGAGCCTGCTTTAAGGCTGGCTGCCAGCACTGCTGAGGAGATGGCTTGACAGATACTATCCCGAATCCCAGGGGAACTAACCAGCCCAGCTGCTTTATTCTGGCAAGGAGCGGAGGTTTCTATTCAAAGCATTTCGTCTTGGAAGTTGTGTAACAAACCGTTTCTTCCTTATGAATCGGAAAAGAAGGTATTGATGAGAGGGCGTTACTTGAGTTCTTGCCTTTCCAGGATTAACCCGCCTCCGCTGATGAGTGGTGCGGTGGTGTGTTAGTGTGCTGTCATTTCAGGGGCAAAGTTTAAGACGTTTTCGCTCTACCCCTTGCCATCTACCTGATAAGCGGGGTCTTGCGTTTGCGTGTCCACGCGCTACCTGAGCGTTTGAACGTGGAACTCCTGTTGGGCTGTAAAACCTCTGCTTTCGCTGCGTAGATTGTCTGATGCTGTTGCTCAAGTTGCAAAAAGCAGTGCTCGCTGTTGCTGGCCGGGCCCAAATGTTCCACTGCCCTTTGACAAGCTTTGCTGCCTGCCCAGCCGTTCCAGCGGGCGACGCGTGCCGGGCTGGGTTAGCACGTGCAGCTTTCCCCAGCCGGCTGTCTCGCAGCGTGGCCCCGGGCTGCGGTACCTACGCTGCCATGTGGTTTAGAGCTGGTCTGCGATGGCAGGACAGCCGCAGGCTGGCCGCGTACCTCACGGCTCCACGCTCGGAAGCGCAGCACGTAACAGCCCTTCCCTCAAGAGCTGTTGCAGCGTACAGCCCGCCGGGTGAAAAACGTGCTTGGAGCTTAAAGCTGGGCGCTTCTCAGGCCTGGCAGCCCGTACTAAGCGAGCTGGGAGGTTGGTCTTTTTTTGTTTCTCACTTAGGAAACTGGGGTCTGTCAGGCTTACGACAAAGCTTTAGCCACACCACCGTCCTTTCTGTAGGTACGTAATGTCCATGGACACAACGAGCCGTTGCTGTGAGAACCAAGAAACCCACTTTTCTTAGTTTTATGCAGATGTCCGGGACTGTTCCCTGCGCTGCTGTTTTCTGGAGCCTGGTTGGCTGGCTCAGCTCTTGCCGGTTGATTCACGTACCGTGTCGGTCGATAGTGAAAACAGCATAGAAAATGCTCTTTGTGTATTAAGGAAACAACCCCCAAACCTTAGGTTCTGCCTGCAGAATCTGCAGAGGTCTGTCCGTTCTTGCTTAGCAATAAAACCAACCAACCAACTCACTTTGTAGTAGCGACGGGTGAAAAAAAGGCTGCAGGCGGTGCAGATTCTGTACTTTTCGGCCGTCGGTGCGAACGCAGTCGTTAGGGTTCTCGGCGGCTCTCTGCGTCGTTACGCGTCAGAGGAGGGGACGCCATCTCTCTTGCCTCTGCTGCCGTTCAGTAAACTGCTGCTTCGAAGCAACTTGGTGTCTGCAAAACAGGACGGAGTTACGGACAGGGCTAATGTTTTTTAACCTAGCAGAAGCAATGTTTTGGTTTTTTTTTTTTATGAACACCACTGCATCTGACGTTAGAGGGACTTGCAGATCCCAGCTGGGAGCGCAGAGAGGTTTGGTTATGTTGGCAGAAGTCAGGCACACGAGGACTCCCAGTGCCAAAGCATCTCCTGCGCCATTCCACGCGAGGACGGTGCTGATGCACGGGAGTGTGTCCTGGGATGCTCTGTCGTAGGAGGGTTTCAGTGCGGGAAATACCGAGCAAGTGCCACAGGAGCTTGTGCCAGCTAGTATGCATTGAGCCTTCGGATCAATGCCTTTTGGTTTCTCGTCCCAAGGAAGGCCCGTGGCGTCATTTATTTAGGCCCGTGTGTGGGTCTTGATGGCCAACAGTCCTGCTTGGGCCTAAAACCTGAACAGCTGTCGCTGAGTTTTGCAGAGTGTCGGAGCGCTGACAGGTGCTGAAGGTGTTCCTGGAAGAGCTGAAGTAGAATAAAGCCCCTCGGCACTTTTCCAGACTCCACTAAGTACAAAGTCTAATAGATACCATGAAAAGCACCTTAAAGGCTGAATTTCAGAGGCCCGAAATTGAGCAGTTCCAGGGCTGCGCTGTTGATTTGCTTATTTCTGATGAATTTTTGAAGCCTTTCAGAGCAATCCCGCAGCTGCCTTTCTCGCGACCCTCCTTTTTCAGCCAGCCTGTGCCCTGGTG